TTTTTCCTCAGCGACCAGCACGGATCAGCTCTAGGCATGACGAAGCAGATATCGTCCTCTTTTGGAAGGCCAAACAAAGTAGTTTCGCTTTCACAACGAAACACACAGCGCCATCACTACATGGCGGCGGCGGCGGCAACAACAATACTACATACTACCTTCTTTCTTTGCGTGAACATTTGGGCGGCATTACGCAAATCTTCCCACATCGTGACGTAGATATGTGGGGGCGTGTTAGAACGAAATATCTCTTTGGATTTGAGACTTTAGTCTTTGCAACTTTACAGATCTTCTTTATGCACCAAGAGCTTAACATTCCAAAGAGAAAGGGGTTATTGAAATCGCATCATATGACCCCTTTAATCCCATTAGAATAACCATTTTGTGTTTCATGCTACTAAAATAACCAATGTGAAGAATGTCATGAATATGACGTGTCGTTTCATTACGTTCATCACTCATAGGATAATAAATCTTTTAAGCCTGAACCTTTACTGCTCAGTTCCGTTAGTTAGAATGAAAACAAACAGGCCTACATAAAATAAGTTAATGTGTTCTGTACTGGTAATATAGCCTAGTTTTATATAATTATTTCACAAATGCTTATAGATAATTAAAATCATTTTTTAAAATGGTTATAGATCATTTAAAGTTTTGGTAACACTTTACAATAATATAATTTGTTAACATTAGTTAATGCATTAACTAACATGAACTAACAATGAACAATATCTTTTTACAGCATTTATTAATCTTTTTTAATGTTAGTTAATAAAATTTTCATGTTAATTCACAGTATATTAATAACGTTAACAATATTGTATTAGTACATTTTGAACGAAATATCAACTAGCATTAATAAATGATTTATAATTATTATGTTAACTAATATAGTTAATTAATGTTAACAAATGAAACCTTATTGTAAAGTGTTACCAAAATTTTATGTTCTTCTCTCTCTCTCTCTCTCTCTCTGACAGAATTTTCATTTTGGGTGAACTAACCCTTTAATTGTCCATTTCACAGTACATTTTAAATGTTAAGTTTTAGTAAACTTGAAGCTAAAGTTTAACAAATTGTTTATTTGTCCATCTGATAGTAAAATAGTAATAAATTTGTAGCTAAAGTTCAGGTAACTGTAAATCTATATCTGACTAGTAAAATTAAAATGTATGACTGCAAATCCATTAAAATAATTTACAACAACTGCAAACAACTAATGAATTGTGATTTTTTTTTATCTCAACATGTTGTTTATATTATATTATATTATTATGCCTAGTATTACACCCATTTGGTATTTGTCCTGCCGGCACACCAAAAATCACCCCGCTACGGCTGCAGCTTCTCGGTGACAACATAACGCCGCTCACATCATTCACAGTCGGGTTATTAGCAGAGAACACAGAGCAGGTCTTGAATTTCAGGCGCAGGATTGCGGCTATTAATAATAATTGTACTCATTCCCGCAGGTTCCGCGCTTATAACGCGATGACAGATGACGGAACTTATCATTAGCACGTGCTTTTGAGTATTGAGAACTCACATTTTCTGTGCGCCCACAGATCGCTCTCTCTCTCTCTCTCTCTCTGACAGAATTTTCATTTTGGGTGAACTAACCCTTTAATTGTCCATTTCACAGTACATTTTAAATGTTAAGTTTTAGTAAACTTGAAGCTAAAGTTTAACAAATTGTTTATTTGTCCATCTGATAGTAAAATAGTAATAAATTTGTAGCTAAAGTTCAGGTAACTGTAAATCTATATCTGACTAGTAAAATTAAAATGTATGACTGCAAATCCATTAAAATATTGCAGCTATTAATAATAATTCTACTCATTCCCGCAGGCTCCGCGCTTATAACGCGATGACAGATGACGGACCGTATCATTTGCACGTGCTTTTGAGTCTTGAGAACTCACTCGCGCGCGCTCATTTTCATGTGCGCCCACAGATCACGTGGTTTTGGTTCGAGTGACAGCTTTTAATAGTACTGCCTAATTTTTTTCATAAACGAAAATAGTTCCAAATAAAGTATCAGCTCAGCCTCTGCGCATCTCTAAAAGCAAACACAGCGGTGTTTCATTCATGAATGAAAGTGCGTTTTTGCAACTGCAAACAACTAATGAATTGTGATTTTTTTTTATCTCAACATGTTGTTTGTTATGATGCATTTTAACAAGCAATATACAGGCAGTGATGCATGTGCAACAACAATAATGTGCATAGTTCTGATCTAGTGTCTGAACATAATATACATGTAACAATGTAATTTATTCTATAATCATAATATGGTTAGTTTCTATTAATATCCATTAACACCATGTCTCTATCACCTAAGGGATCCTTGCCCTGAAAAACGTTAAAGACCCCTGGTTTAATATGTTAGGCCTACCATTGCCCTACCCCGCTCATACCGTATTCATTTTATTTGTGCAGGTCTTTAAAAGCCTTGCATTTTATTTAAAAAATCCTGCAGATATAATTTTTTATAATTTATGTACTGTATGTTGGCTATTTATATTAGGGCAATGTTATGCAATCCAGACAGGTGATTTTTATTAGAAATAACATCTGATTTAAAGTGAAGAACTCATAGTAACGAACACAACTTTCATGTGTGACAGATAAACGGCACACTCTTATTTCAGTGTTATAGGATATTTCAGCTAACCGTTTGCTTTGTACATTCAGTTGAACATCATTACATTAAAGTTACAGACTGACTCAGGATGCTGTTCCAAATCCTGCTGCGCCACGTCCCAAATTATTGTTAATGTAACGACTTAGGCTGGAAGATTGTGTAGTGTGCATCTTTCAGCACAACGTTTGTCTTTCTGTCAGAACGATGCAGATTTTTTAAATGACGTAAATATTTCATGGGTTTTCTACTACATATTTCAGCAAGAGACATCATTTTACTTTATTAAGCCATATGTCTTAATACCTAGGGAATGTCGAATCCCCTTCTGGCGCCTTGTGTGCTTGCTTCCATTATGTTATAAATAGAGGCAGACAGACACACTTCATGATCAACGACATTCCGATCGCTACGATTAATCAATATTTTTAAATGAGCCGGTCGATTAAATGATTAAAGTCCCCATGAAATCAAAATTAAAGTTTTTTGGGTGTTAGTATCAATATGTTAGTGTTCAGTGACAAAATTCGCATTTATAAGATATAAAGTCACTTGTTCACAATGTAGTATTTCCTGTACGGTGAATGGCTCGAAGTGCACAATGTAGGTGAGAGGGAACGATTCAGACAGTGTAAATATGCTTTCGATTGGTGCAAATTAGGTCTGGTTTCACTTAGTTTCAAGCAAACCGCGGCAGCGCACACAGTCTGATCCGGACTTTGGCTCCGGTCCAGAGACGCGATCACACGGAGCGGATCATATGCGAGTTCAATTAACAAGTACTGCCTGATTATGCTCTATTTCATCAACGAAAATAGTTCCAAATAAAGTAACGGCTCAGCTGCTGCACATCTCTAAAAGCAAACAGCAGTTTCATTCATGAATGAAAGTGCGT